CATATATTTTCGTGCATATAGATAATACACAAGAATGCACTTAGTAAATTGCATGTAAAGTAATACCTCGCAAAGTACGGCTTCGATTAGTCCGGTTTGAACTAAACATTAATTATTATACATAAAGGATTAAAAGAGAATAAATAATGTAGATTTAAATTAATTTTACTATATAAAATTGCGTATCGGCACGAATTAAATTTAAAGTTTAGAAATGCTTGTAATTAATAACATAATAAATAATCAATGATTCAAGGAAAGTTGAAAACGCATTATATTTCACGGAACTAAGTTTTGGTGGCCAATTTGTCTTTGATTCAAGATAATTGAACGTTTCGCTTCAAGAAAATTGCAGTCATTTTAAACCGGAGAAAGGTATTAAAAACTTCGTCCGTTGTATTCAGAATGACGAGAAAAGTAATTGCATTTTATGAAAGCAATTGAAATCGATTGTCACATAAATTATGTGAGTTTTATTATTATCATTTGGTTGCTTTTTAAATGTAATAGAATTTAGTTGTTTATTATATATGAATATAAATCAATTCTGATGTGAAATCAAAAAGCGAGATCTAAGTATAGAAACCCTTATGCATGGTTGTTTGATCATTCCTATCAATTTACCGTAAGCTTTTGCAAAAGCACGAGACAGGCCAAGATTAATTACATTTTTCCCTGTGAAATATCAATTAATTACAGTGATGTTTTCTCTCCGCGTTTCCTGGCGTAAGACGAAACCTGACCTTATGTAAAATTCGCGGCTCTAATGCCAAGAGACTCATCAAATGCGACCTGTGTCAAAAAATCCTATGCAAGATGGTAAAGGTTACATGAGACGCTGATTCCTATAAATTGCTGTATTCTAAGCTGCTTTAATACATCATCCTATCTACAATGTTAATTATATGCAGGATATAAGAATTTTTATGCTTCTCTTTCGATTTGCTTGAAATATAAGCATTGGATCGATTATATAAGTTTTGATTGGGTTCGATGTTAAAGGTTAATGATATTTATAAAATGGTGATTGGTAATGCGACGAAAATTTATTATGGATATGCTAAGTAAGTAAGTCTACTTTGAAGGTCACTTACACAAGAGATACGCGCTTGACACATTATGTAGGTTTATTTACAAAACAACAGAAACGTAATTTCATGTAATAATAAAATGAAATAAATGAATAAATAAATAAATTTAAAAACCAAAAAAAAACATTTCTTTTCTAATATCTACATTAAGTTTGTTATATAAGTATAAAACCTAAATCTATAATACCACTAATTCCATTTTTATTGGTAAAATACGTTTTAAATTAGTGGAAAAATGCTATTTTCTTAATATATGACCTGTTAAAACATTGAATATTATTTTTAATAACTGTACTTTTGTGATATATTTGAAGTATATATTTATATAAAATTAATGCATGACATAAGTATAAAACACATTCAGATTATATTTCATACGTTTAATAGAAACATAAGAATGCATATATCATCTTTGAGAAATTGTCATCTCCCTTTTGGTGCATTAAATTCTAATCTATTATAAACGAGCAAGTAACGGTTTTGATAAAGACCTCCGGTGATCTTCAACGCTCTTTGAAACCTAGATAAACTTAGGTGTCCCACTGGGAGCCACTATGATAAATCATATTTAAAGATTAATACTGTGTGAGCTTGTTAATGGAGATAATTTAAACAATAGTGAACTTAATAAAGTGAATATTGTTTTTATTATATAGTTATTAAGAAAAATTATAAAAAATAACGATGAAAGTTCATCAAATACTAAATAAGTAAACTATAATTTGTCTTTCGGTCTATCAAATATTATATATAGACTATTGAGAAAATTTCGATCCAAATTGATATTTTTTCGTTAAAATTTTTCATGCAATAGACCAGTGATTCCCAAAGTGGTCTATATCGACCCCCAGGGGTCTATGACAACTTGCAAGGGGTCTACGTCAACGAAAAAAAAAATTGGGGGTCCATGAAATGGAAATGGGGGTCCACGATAGTGGATCTCAACATACACTGATAGTACCTATTTACTTACATTATACTATATTATAATATAAAGACATATACATTATTTATAAAAGTACGTGAAGTAACAAATTTATTATATATGTTTATAAAATTGTGTAAGTTGTAGGATTTCGCTTTGTGGTTGCAATACATTTTGAACTTGTAAAAACCTGCACATAATGATATACCAGTATCATCTTGTTACAAGAATACGCGCAGTCTCAGAGCAAAGATTTTAATAATTACAAAGATTAATATAACAAATAAATTTACAAAAAATCAATATCAGGTAAGTAGGGGGTCTACCCAAAACCGAAAAACATGGCAAGGGGTCTACGACACAAAAAAGTTTGGGAACCTCTGCAATAGACAATAGAGTTTTTTTTTTATAGTAAAATACGGGAATTTCCTATTTAATATAGCTACCTGTGAATGTACTAGATTTGTTTCTCGGGATTTTTTTTTCTTTTTGAGAAAAAATAATAAAAATAAATCTTAAAAACTTGCGGGAATTTCCGGGAATAAATTTCTAATTTATATTTATAAATACAATAAATATTATTAGATAGTATAATACAATTATCAATTTACTTTATTTTCGACTATTTCCTTTGAAGTGTACAATCTATTGTTAAATTATACTTGTTTTCTAATAGAAAGTGAATGTATAAAATTTGCAAATTGGCTTTCATATCCTAACATAAAATTATATATATCAAGTAATAAATAAAAACTGCAAATCTTTACTTATAATTGAATTAAGTATTATAACGTAATTTCCATGTTTAAAATATTAAACAAAATTAAATATATCTAGAATAATCCAAACATTTTAAGTGATGACAATTTCTCTCCAAAATTGTATATGTAATATTTTGAATTATCTCCGAAGAAGAAAAAAATACTATTACAACAAAATTATGTTTTTTTTCATACTGTTTCTTATTCATGTGTAATTTCTCTCAGTAATTGCTTGGAAAATGAAAAATAAAAACAGTTAATTGCGACGGTAAATCCATAATAATTGAAAATGCATATAACTTTATATGTACAATGACCGCAGTTTTTCCGCTCTAAATAAATTAATTTATTTTTATTATAAATTTATCAAAAGTTTTAATAATTAATTTTAATTCGAAGATTAATTTAAATATCGGTTAAATTTTTACAGTTTTTTTACAATTAGCAATATCATACCTCATCTATCTCTGAAGAGCATGTACGCCACCCCTTAATACAATACCATTGTATATGTATTTACATTGAATAAATAATTTTGAAATTGAAATTGAAATTCTGAAGAGCAAAAATATTATAACAAAATTATGTTTCTTATTCATGTAAAATATTTTTAATTAATTGATTAGAAAATTTAAAAAAACAGTTAATTACGATGATAAATCTAGTTTTTATTAAATGATATCAACAAAATTGTATATAGATATTTGTAAAATATTTATTTCATTGAATTGCGAAACAAAATTGTAAAGTAATTATTTTGGACTTCTTTTTATTTTTTATATAAACTTTTCGATCTACCTTCGTAATTATGAATTATGATAATACACAGTAATTACGACGATAAAGCCTTATGAATCGATCATCATATTTTCGTTGAATGAATGGAATTAAAGGACTTTGAAATAGTTGAACTAAGTTAATATATTGATCTCAAAGGAGATAAACTTTAATATGAACAGGTCCTTTTTTTTATCGAAACTTGTAATATGGGCTGTGTAGTTCGTTTAATTTAGTTTAAATATTCAAATTACATAACGAAATAATTTTAACTTTTATGAAACAACCTGTCATTATTTTTTACTGCTGAAACTTTATAATTTTTTTGAAACTATCTGCGCATACTAATTATAATTAGTGGTTAGTAATTAATTGTAAATTATAACAATAAAGTTAGATGTGGCAATTGAATTTGTAAAATATTAATATTCATATTGCATAACGAAAGAATTTAATTTGTTATAAAAACAACCTGACATTATTTGTCGCATACTAACTATAATTAGTAGTTAGTAATTAGTTGCAAATGATTACTATTTGTATTAGATGTGGCAATTGAATGTGTCGAATATTAATATTCATATTGCATAACGAAATAATTTAAACTTTTATATCTTCATAAACTTGACTTTTTTTCTGTTAAACTTTATAGATCGGAACTACCTGCGCGTTCTAACTATAATTAGTTGTTAGTAACTAGTTGCAAACGATTACTATTTGTGTACATGGAATGAAGTTATATGAGACAATTGAATTTGTCGTCTCGTTTAACCGATATGCTTCTTATACCAAAAGATTAATGATGTAATGCATAGTATCCTTCCTGCTAGCTTCTATTCAGTGCAGCAGTAATTGAAGCAGACGAGTGATTAAAAACGCAGTAATCCTCTAGATACCAAGCGAATCCTCTTCATAGTAAACGAATCCTTACCCAAGCAACAACAGCTTTTATTCACATGAGGTGTCTGCAGCAGTGGGAATCCAGTCCAGTGCATACGAATCCCAATTGCGACGGCGGCGCTTGGCTGGCCCAGCGTTGCGTGCACAGCGTCCCGACGCCCGCATCGTTTCGATTGGCCGAATGGAAATATCTGTCGGTCCATCGGAATTCAATCCAACATCCGCACGAATTCCTAATTTATATGCCATTCGACGAAAAAGAAGAAAATAAAAGTAAATAGAAAAGACTGCAAACCGGAAATTGAGCGGCGACCATTTTTTTGTTGTTATATCTCTCTTCCTTTCATATTATTATTTTTATTATTGTGTCGTTGAAATGATAATAAAAAAAAAATATGGATATACTAAAGCAAAGCCATTTCCGGGTTTCTCGGCGGATGACAATTTGCGTCGGGGTTGGCCGCCTCTTCTTTAGCCGATTCTTTGCGGCGTCGCGACGCCCCACCGCGCTCCGTTACGTAACGCTCCGCGGACCGCCGCGGCTCGGCTCTCTCAGTCAGTGTGTCGTTACCATTGAATTCGATTCGTTCGAATGTTTTAAGTTACCGAACCAAAGAAGTAGAAAACAAAAAAACTTTTACAACATTATCCAAAACGTAATAATACCAAAGAAAAACAACAACAAAAGTTCTCGAGTTTCCGCTGTTTGTGATATATACAACGCATTACGTAATTACATGTTTATTATTTATATGTTAATGTCATTAAAATAAGTTTAGATTCACGTTGCAATGCGTGAATATATCTGACCTCATCAATAATCTGAGCTAGATAAGACGTTCCGTTTCTTCTACAACTTAATAAATACACTTAGGTGTTTCTTTTCGTGCATGCATCCGAGTATCAACATCAGAATTAATTAGTCAGGTTTGATTCGCGTTATCTTTGATATTCAGATTCAAATTACGTGCAATTGAGTGCAAATCCGATCTGTTTGTAAACATTCATTTGGAGAATTTCCATTTCGGATATCGAGAATCTCTCTCTCGCTGACGGTTAACGACAACCGCCATCAATTGCTTGATTATTGTGGGGGGTTTGAGTTTTGACGCTAATTGCAGACAATTTCGTATGCAGATATTGTCATCTCTCGCTGTTGAATATTCATAAGAAAATTACTGTGAGAATTGCGGAGAAAATGTGTGAGATTGCGACTTGTGTTTAGTTTGTTTCCTTTTTCATATATTTTTTTTCTGCCTCTCGGATTGCTTCACTAATTATCGCAATTAGTTCTTTATTTATTATCTGGTCTCTGGTCTATAATTAAATCTTCGCTAATTACATTATTCGTTTATATTAACGCAGTTTTTTTCTCTCTCTTCTATTTTTCATACCGGAAAGTTTCGAACGGTTTTAAATTAATTATTCAGTCTCATTTAAAATTAATTTATATAATTATGTATACCAAATTGAAATAATGGAGCTTTGTTTTATATACATATATTTAATATGATTTTTTTTTGTATTTTTAACATAATTTATTACAATTTCAGTCTCAATATTTAAATAAATATGAACATAAAATTTATTAATATTTTTATTTTCAATTTTATAGGTATATTAAAAAATATTGAAAGAAAGTTATTTCATTTTATTAATTAAATTGTAATTTGTAATTAATTCAATAATAATCATATTTTATATCTGGAAATATTCATTAATTTATCTTAATGAATATTGATATATTATTTATCTTTCATTTGATCTGAAGTATAGCTTAACTTGCATTTTTTATTACATTATATTAATTTATATTATCCTTCGTGATAAAGTTATCATTGCTAATAAATAAAACAAACTGTGTAACAAAAGTTAGTGATAATAATTTTTGGATGATAAAAAACAAAAGTTATAATATGATATAAAAAATGTACAAAATTTCGAATTTAATTTGTCCACGCAAAAATCTATGGGCTGAAAATTGTGTATTTTTGCTTTAAGAATCTCGATGCAAAATTTTGGTTTTTCCAAATTTATTGATTTATTTAATAAATTGAGTTTCATGTTTAATTTCATAAAAAAATATATGGAGGAAATAAATTAAATTTGAATATATTTTTAATTACAAAATATGCTTTAATAATTAAATAAGATTTAATCAATAGTTAATAATGTAAGAGATTTCATGAATCACATTGAAAAATGAAGAAATGAGAAATCATAAGGGCATTGGATTTAATTTACTTTTTTCATGTCATAAAAAATGTCTTTATCTACTGATGGAACAGAGTATTAATATTTATCGAACATTGTAAATGACTGCTAATGACAAATTGATTTCTGCTCGTTTCATGTTTTTTTTAACAATTTATAAATATACATCGATACAAAAACTGATTGAGTGATTCATGTGATGTGAGATTTGTAAAGTACAAGAAATATTAATATTTATTTCAAAATGAATTAACAATTTATTTTTAATTGTTGTTATAATAGCAAAGAATAATATCACATAGAAATGATGCAACAGAGATTTGTCTTTATTAATAAAGTGTACGAAATTTTAATATTACATATGTATTCAAACATATAACAGTTATAGTTCCAATTATCTACAGTTTCTGATACAGTTTACACATTTAATATGAACTTTATTTCAATTAATACTTGCTTAATATCAATGCAAATTAATTATACATACATGATTTATTTATGAATTGAATCAATTTATGAAACTGAGAAATGTAAATGTATTTTTTTTTAAATTAGCATTAATATGTCGATAATAGTTAATTATGTTGCAACTGTAATTGTAATGTAATATTAGTATATTCAATTTTGTGCGAATTTGCTGTTCAAAAATTAATTATTTAGTCATTGTTGATCTAATGTCCACTGTTTATTTATTATTCATTGGTTACTAATAGACAACGTATCTACTACTGTATTAAATGCAAACAATATTTGTATAGAATTAATTAACAATTTAAATGTGTATTTACATTTGTTTTAACCTTCGAAATAAAAATAAATCGTAATAGCATTAGTGAGAAAGGAAACTTAACCAATTAATTACTAATATATTGTAGTTCTATATTTAACAAAAATATGAGAGAATTAATTATTTCAGACCTCAATAAACTATATAAGGAAACGAGTGTCGGAGAAAATCAATTAATCACTCGGAGATGTATGTATTACAAAGTAATTAATCATTCAGATGAAGATTTTCCATTCAATTGGATGAAAGTAGACGTTTTAATCTATAAAATATATGAGTTTGCTATTACATTTATAATTAAACAAATACAGCAACACCTCTCATAGTCGGGCTTCGATTAGTCCGGATACACTATAGGTTTGAAAGTTTCGATGCAAACTTAATTTTAATTCATTAATAAATAAATTATAAAAACAATCATACACAATAATTTTTTTCGTAAATAAATTAGCGGTTTTTTAAGTTCCTCGATTAATCCGGTTTCAAACAGTACGAGATATTGCTGTAATATGAAATTTTAGTAATATTTCTTCGGTGGCAATTGAAATTCAAAATAGACTTATTCAAAATAAACCTTAACAATAAGAAATAATCTAAAATACAATTAGATTATTACTGTTTATTATTAATAACAATAAATTAATTTAATTTTTTTTTAATTTTCTTAATTTTAAGGTTTATTATGAATAAGTCTATATTAAATAACAGAAGATACTGTCGGGATTCTGGTTGTCGAGATTTTAATACTGTTGAGTTTATGGTTGCTGGATTTAGATAGATACTGTCGAGATTTCGAATCTCGTGAAATTTGAGTTTCCAGGATTTCAATATTGTGCCTGTTTCTATCATGTTTTTCTTTTTTCTTGAGGTCTTTTAGCTATGAATAAATTTGTGCAATGTTAAGACTTGTTATTTAAAGAAATCTTCTCGGTATTTGCTAGAGTTTCATATCATTTTATCTGAAAAACAGTACAAATCCGAGTAAAAAACTTTTATTTTCAAATATTTTTATTACGCATTAAAATATTACTTCATTAATGTATTTCGTATGTGTACTAGTTATTGTAATTATAATTTTAATAGCGTAATACGTTGCTGCTTTTATAATATAAAAACCATTTCGTAAGTAAAATAATATTAAAAGTACGTTTTATGTCCAGAGGGAAAAAACCTTGTCGATAGGTAAAATTACATCATACATTTCCATTCCCTGCATATTTATTTTACATTTTCAACATTCATTTAATTCATTTTTCCGGATTTCCTACATTCATTAAATTCCGAGTTTTTCATGTTAATGCAATTCCATATATCCAGAATTTACTCATTACATTCATTTTATCCAAATTCTCTTTTAAACAATGAAATGTTGTTTTTTGTTCAGTTAATTTGTAAATGAATTTAATCAATTATTTTATGACGAAAATAATAATATTTCTCGCATTAGCCAATAATAACATCATTTATTTATATTTTTTATACATAAATGATCAGTTTTTATGTATACATCATAAAAACAGTTAACCCTGTGGGCCAATGTCTAATACTTTGCTAATGAAGGCATGAGCAAATTTTCCATTTTTTTTAGTATTTGAAAAACATGTGGTTCCACTTCGGAACCAATAGGATATAAAGAAGATTGCAAATAATTACACTTTATGTGGTTCTATGTTGGAACCACTAGCACACAAAAGGTTAAGTCTCTTTTAGTGTTTATTGGTATGCAGTTTCAAACTGATTAGACGCGCTATGCGAGATATTGCTGTACTATATTTTATATTTTTTTAAGTACAATATTTTTAATTTATGGAAGAGCAGGTAAATAAAATTTACAATGTATGATCGAAAATGCATCAATTATTAATTTTGTTTGGTAAATCCTATTTAATCAGCAAATATGAAAACATTATTTTATCGAAATAATTAATTGCATTTATAATGTATACAGATAGAAAACAAACATAATAATTGAATGCAATGTGAAAACAAAAGGCTTTCCACTTACTCGTTAATTAATTAATTAATTAGTGTATTCATATTACAACTAAATTTTATCATGTGTTAACAATTACAACATTTTCAAACAATAGTTGCCATTTAATTATTAGTATGATATGTGCAGTCTTTGTTTAACAAATTTAAATCACTGTCTGAGTTCATTTATATATTTTACTAAATATTCTAAGTCAATGTTATGAAATGAATTTGGTAATTCAGCGATATCCCGGACTGATTGAAACCGGACTAATAAGGAACTGAGTATATACAATTAACCGCACAAAAAGAGAATTAATTGTTATTTAACAATAATTTTTTGTACTATTTTTTTTATAATTTATTTTGCTGAATCTAAGAAAAAAAGTAGGTTGAAATACTCAATTTAATTAAATTATGTATTTTATTTTTGAAATAAAGTTTTCAACGCTAGATATTGGGTACATAAAAATAATGTAAACAACATCATGTCAAAAGATCATTTATGTCAAAAGATCTGGTTTATTTATCAAAGAAAATATATAATCCAGTTAGCTTCTAAAATGAATATTTCTTAAGTAAACATACTTAGAGGAAGAATTTTGATGAGATTTTTTATATATTTAACATAATATTTATTTTTATGTAAAAAACATATACACTATTTTTAGGTACAGCTCACCGAGTGCGGTTTCGATCAGTCTGAATTCTCTTTGAAAATTTCAAAACAAACAAAATTGTAATTGCAAAAATAAATCTAAATAAGTAAAATTATAAATTATCATTTTTCTTTTCTTTTTATACAGTCAAGTTTTTTTTTATGCGATTTTAAAGTTCTCGATTAGACGGATTTTCAAACAGTCCGAGATATTGACGCAATCAACTACCCGCACTATGCGAGGCATTGCATATTTAAGACATAGCATATTTAAGAATGTGCTATACTTTTGCAGCCCAATAAATATGTTGATTATAGTATTTGACATTTTAACCAACATATTTTCTTAATTGATTATATTGTTAAAATTTGTAATCTATATTTTACGGCAAAAGTACATAATAGGTAAATGTAAGTTCAACTTACATACTCATCATTTTCGGGAAATGTATACACTTACCAAATGACGTCGGTAAATAAAATATATAAGTTATGTCACACCAAAAAAAAAACTTATCACAAAAACACAGAATTATTTTATTTTGAATCTAACACACTGTTTACTGGTGATCTAACCTAACCTTGATATACAACAATTGTATCTCGTATTTATTATTTTCAACTTTTGCCGATATACGTAGGTAGATGTAAACATTTACCGGTAAAAGTAGATATATAACGCTGCCGTCAGATTTATACTTACATTTACCGAGAAATGTATTCATTTACCGAGAAATGTATACATTTACCGATTGTTTACTTCTATCGTGACATATTATAAAAAAATACTATACTTATTCTATTCATAAGAATATTTTAATTTATACCTGTTAAGATAAGACAATAATATTTTTGAAATACAATAAATACCTATTATCATTTCCAAGTTAATAGTGATTGGAATGTGCATTATGCAGATCTCAAGATATTAAATGGTTCTAATAAGCTGCGTTTTCCTATTTCTTAGATGTATAAACAAAACTAAATAACTAGGTTTCGTGCTGTGTTCAATCATTTTTAATTAAGTTCTCTGTAAAGTTTGCATGTCCAGTTATTTTTTTTTTCTTCTATTCTCTTTCTCTCTTCAATTTTGCATCGTAATTGGAAATATGCAGTTCTTTTCATGCACAAATATGCCGCTAGAGAGAAGTGCGTCGCCGAGGAGCAGATGATTTTAAATTAAAAAATTAACATCCCATAATTAATTTTCCTCCGTAATTTTTACTTCAGTTTTTCATCCTTTGTATTACAAAAATAATTAAAACTTTAGTGTTTCATGTTATTGTTACATATTATATTTTATTTATTACATACAAAATTATAGTAATATTTCTAAATAAATAGACTTATTATTTAATAACCAACACAGACTAAAGAAAAGATTAAATATGGAAAACTTGATACAAAAATTGTGAAATATTCGGCTATTAAAAAAAATTTCGATCTAGTTTTATTTATAATTTTAAATCCAAAAAATAATCCATTTTATTTGAAATTTTTATATATTTTTTTTAATAATTTTCTTATATAATAAAATTTAAGAATTGGTAATATTTAATTTTCTGGTGGAAATTTAGAAATTGTTTTCTTTTCCTTTTCTAAATACATATTTTAAGATCAGAGTGGTAGGATTCCGGATGTTCATAAAGTATTCCGTCAGCAAATCTTTAAACGAGAAACAGCTGATATTAAATATCTAAAATTAAACTCGGTTTACGAACGAATATGCCATTTTTTGGCGGTTCGCCGTTAAATTACGTCCGTTATCGTTATGAAATTCCAAAAAATTGAAATGATCTTTTAAATTTGAATATAAAAAAAAGTGTGTGCATTTTGAAGGGCATTTCTTTATTCCGCACATGCTCAGAATTAATTTCGTTAATTTCGCACGACTCGCAAATCTTTTTTCCACTCCATTTAAATCGCGCTCTCCTCTCCCCCATTCATTTACCAAATTACTTTTAGCACTTATTTTTATGAAAGCGTTTTAATTACGTTTATTAATGTTGTTTGAATATACTTTGTCCAATTATCTTAAGATTCGTTTATTTTATAGATTACAATTAATTATTCATTGTCTTGTACATTCTTATGTAGCAATTTCTATATAATGTATGGAAATACATAAGATGCTTTAATAATAAAGTAATATAGCAAAGATTCGCATAGTCCGGATTCGAACAGTCCATGTTAACTTTAGTGAAATTACGGAGCAAATTGAGATCAATAAACATAAATCTTTGTTTTTTCCTATATTTTATATAGGATTCTATATAGTATATACAATTTATTTAGTTCTTCTCTTAATCTGGTATCAAACAGTCCGGATAATTGGTGGAACCGATCCGCACAATGCTAGGTATTTCTGTAGTATCAAATTTAGATTTAATTTATATTAATTTGTGATAAACAAATTATTAATATGAATAAACAAAAAAAATAGTTGGAAAAGAAAATAAAAAGTTTTTAAACAAACTTAATAATTTTCGTCTTATTGATGACTGTAATTAGACAGTATTGTTTATTGAAACCATTATTTTTAAGTATATCATCTTTTTTGAAATAAGCTTGAAATATAATTGTTGTAACTTGTAATGTAACTTGAAATATAATTGTTGTCATTCTTTAAAAAATCATTACATTAAAGTTTCTTGTGATATACTATTTTTGTTTGTTCATTAAATAGCTCCATCTTGTATATGAACAATGTAAGGGTGTTTTTTCATTTAATAGAATGAAGCTTTTTGGCATAAAAAGAACGTAATGGTCGGTAAATTTCCTTATAAACACATACTTCTCCTCTTTCTTTTCATAGCTTCTTATAAAGTTTCTAGACATAACGTCTCTTCATTTCAGACATTTTTTTTATTTAGATTAATATATTATTTGGTTATACGAAGAAAGTGAAATATTTTTTAACAAAAATATAATATAAATATTCTTATAAAGATTTTTTATCAGTAATATTTGGATATGAGAAAAATATAATTAAAATGAATACATTTATGATAAATATTTGTATTGAAACTTGAAGTAATTTTGAACATGAAATGACTTCTTGTTTATCTTAAAATATATAAATTATTAAACATCAAACTATGAAATTAAAATGAGAAATTTATGAACAATAATTCTTTTCAAATGATGTATTTTGTAATCACACGATGAAAAACTATGAAAGTTAATGAACAATAATTATTTGAAATAATGTAGTTTGTATTCACACGATGAAAAACGAATAGTAAACTTGTATCTAACAAATCTGAAGCAATATTTAAGATAAAATGACATTTTATTGATCGTAAAAGATATAAATATATCAAAGTGAACAGTCGTAGAACTGAAATTCATTGACCATCTTTTGATGGGTTTTATATGAATGTAGGTTGTAGAATCAATGCAATATACATTAGGGTAGGAATCGATCCACTACACATAATAAATTTGGAAGCAATTTCCTGGATTGAATATTTTTGTGGTTATAACGTAGAGCCGAGTTCAATGCAATCTATAAATACATTAGGAAAATTATTTACATTTAGCGATTATGGATTTCCCATGAAAAAATATTGTACATGTTTGGGTAAGCAATTTTCGCTTGTTGAAACAAGTCGAGAATTGCTTTTCCGGCAGCAATGAAGCTAACGCACATTAGCAGCAGCATGAGCGGAATGTTTATCTAACTCAAGATTACGAAATGAGGTTGTAACATCCTGAAGTTCTGCACACACTTGACTTCAAGATGTTACATTCCGGTATTCTTTATTCGAATTCGCGCAGTGTTTCGTTCGTGGCACAGGTTTGATCCTGCGGTGGTGGTGCGCGTCCTTCAGTTTTCGCTCGTCTTTGATCGATTGGAGGATGTGAATCCGGTGCAGTGGCTTCATTTGGCAAGGATATCAGGCTGGCGGGTTTAGAGCCGTCGCCGTCGGAAGGCGACAAGGACTGCCTGACCACCTACGTCTTCAATCCAGTGGATTCGTGTACACCGAGCCCGCTGAATTCGCACGGAGATGGCGTCCGGACGCCGGAAACGCTGCGGGCCGGCAGCTCGCTCACCTACGACAGGAAGTCCCTGGGTCGTGCCAACTATATGGCCGAGTACGACCCGGAGGTGGTGAAGGACTCCAAATGCTACGACCTCTACACGATCAGCAAGGAGGAGAGGACGTACGACGAGCCGTTCGCCGGAGATCCTCAGGCCAACTCCGGTCGAAGGTCCTGGCTCTGCTGTCCAGGTACCCAGCAGCAACAACAGCAGAGGCTGGAGGTCGAGCAGCCGCCGCTCGTCGACGTCAGGATGGTCGCTCCCATGGATATCTCTTCGCCGATCACGCAGCCGCCCCACATTTTCTGCAACGCCACTTGCGTACGTTTCAATTTGCTTTTATTTATTGCTTTCACTTTTCTGTACTTCTAATGAAGTGATTCACCGCACACATTTTCATTACCGAAGGTACTGAATCTATACCACCCCTTTATTTCAATGACTCACTGGCTAGGACGGTGCACTCAGACATTTTTATTTAAAATTGGCAATCATTTTTGCTTGTAATATTACCAATTAATTAAAAAAACAATAATTAATAGAACAATTAGATAAATAATTACAGACAACAAAATTATATAAAATGAATTATTTCTAATAATATATAGACAATAGACATACAGTATTTTTATACAATATTTCTTATTGTTTTAATTTCATTTCATTAACTCCGTGTTGTGTAATATTTTCGTATATAATTTGAGTTCAAGAAGCTCTATTTTACAGTTAGTTTAATATTGCAGTTCTCGATTATTAAACATAATTGGAGGACATTCGTGTCCTACTTCATTGTTAATGTGATTATGCACTTACCTTGTTTCGGATAGTTACATTTTAGATGTTACATAGTTTTGTAAATTAACTAAGCTCATTATTTCAAATGTACCTTTCATATAGGAATGTCTGTTATACAAATATGTCATGTCACTTGGTTGGCAGAAAGGCTGCGCTCGATATACTTTTTGCCCAGATTAGAACTAATTAGCAATTTCAAATAAAAATAAATAATTAAGGATTCTACATCTGATAATTATTTCTTTCTAATTGAAACCTTAATAAGAAATAATATATTAAAACGATTTAATTTACAAAGTAAAAATTATAGTGGAGGAAATGTATAAAGAATTAGTAATACAAGTTTTCTGTTTCTAGGAAGATTATAATATGTAATTATACAATTTCATAATTACATCATTTTGCTAAAAACGCCCTCAGCGCTTGTTAAGCGAATCTATTTTATGTAGATTTAGTTTTAAAATCGTATTTATTCTTTCTGTCTACTTTCTTCACACATTTTGTATATACTTTGGTATATCACCTCTTTTATGTTTCCATGTTTTACATGAATTATACAGTAAAATTGAATATTATTGGTAATAACTTTCTCTCCTATTGATATTAATTCTTTTTACGCGCGTTTTTTAAAATTATGTAGTTTACTCTTTTTTAAGTAAATTAGTAAAAAGTATCCGCGAGATCTTCTATTTATATTTTACGACACTTTTATGGCCATGCAAATCTATTAACTCCTTGTGGCTCAAATATAATTTTGTCAAAACTGTCGATTTTTTTTGATAAATTAGATGAACATTTTTTTACTTTTGTTTCGTTTTTGAAAAACATGCGGTTCTACTGGGAAATAAAAAGCTTGGAAATTATTATTCCTTATGTGGTCCCATGGTGGAACCACTGGCACACAAAGGGTTAAAATTTAGCTACTGAATAATTCTTTATAATATATGAAATACTTCTCTGCGAGCTTTAACCCATTCATTTCTAAGAAATCTAAAGTTATTGTCAATTAAAAAAAAACACGTGATACAAAATGTATGAAATGAACTGTTTATATTGGAATTTATAAATATGAAATTTATTTTTTTGGTATTAAAACATTCATAAGCATATAGATGTATATGAATGTGAATATGAAATATCGAACCGAAAAGTATGTATATATAAAAATAAAGCATTTAACTAAGTTTGTGAACTATTCCTAGAGTTCACTGGTCCACAGAAATATAGATCTACCATAAAACGTAAGTCCTGTTTTCTGTACGGAAACTAAAAGGGATCGTGCCTCGCCTGGAGTACGTTTGAAATGTATTACATCAAATATGCTTTTGCTGTGCAACTATAACAGAGGATTAAAACAAAAATGTAACTCAAGAGGAATTTAATCTTTGGCGGCGAATTTCATGCAGCTCTAGGAAACGTTTGATACTTCTCTCCACTGCAGCGAAATTATCAGAGGAACGTGTTTGACTCTTAAATTGTTGTTCCTGTGCAAACTTCGCAACGTAATCCACGCATATCTTCCATGAATATTCCACTGAAATTGAATTCTTTTGTACCCGGTTACATAGTTGATCGAATATACTCACACCTTTACATGCACTTCGGCGATTCCAAGCCTTCCAAGTATGCCATTCAATATTATGGACTTTAACTATTGATCTGTCCTTATTATATGGCCTCTTATAAATTGCTGCTTTGATATTGGATATCTAAAGTTTTCATAAACGTATTGCAATCAGGAATTTAATTAGTGGCGACTCCGTCCATAAAAACTTTGCAATTTTGCACCTCCAATATAAATGAAAGTTTAATTTTTTTAATTATATATGTATACATTATTTTAAATATTTTCAATTAATTTAATATTTGTTACATAAATTTCACACTTAATCGATTATTTGATGAGGATGCAATTCATCTATTGCTTGTCTAATTGTAGTAAAACTTGGCGGAGACAGCTCTAACTGACATACCGTTTCCAGCAATTCAACTTCTTACTACCAATATGGACTTGTTAATCTCAACACTAAGTTTCGGAGTAACATGTCAATAAAATTGTTGGTGTTCATTAGTCAAAATGACATCCTCGAGAATTTACTGAAATGATATCATTCCAAACTTTATTAATTATTACGCAGTTCTGCATATAATTACTAATACTACTTATTTATTAAATATTTGTGGTCCGGATACATTTATTTTTTAATCAAATAGTAATTAATGTCTATTGCATAACATCTTTAATCCTTTGAGACTTTAACCTATTTTTGTATTGAAACATTTATTGTTGTTTTTGTGTTTTATTTACTAATTGTTACACAATCAAGGATATTTGTATATTAAATTTAAAATTTTATTTATTAATTTTATGTGAAACTTATTTGATATGAACTCATAAGTAAGAAAGTTTTAAACTTTAGTTATTTACTGAAGGCTGAAACTTATACACTACTTTATGTACAGAAATCTGTACAGTACTGTAACACGACGGGTGCTTCGTGTACAAAAATAAAAATTATACAATATCTTCAAAGTCGGCTTGGGCGTGAGTTCCTGACGTGGGAAGGTTCAGGGCGCCACTTCCTTTTATTAAGAGGAAGAAACTCTAATAACTGCTTCCTTCTCCGACGGTGGGCCTTGGCACCTTGAGAGCACCAACACCGTAATTTGGAGCAAACAAATATCTCTTCTCCAGTGGAGACCTGACCCGTCTTCCTCGAGGTTCGATGCGGTCTCCCCAAATTTTAGAACCATAGTTGCACCGTGGAGCGTAGTTGCAGCTTTTTCTCTTTTACCACGTTACTGTACTTTATATGCTTCGATTAGTCTGGATTTACTATATTTTGCTAGATAAATGATAGGTTTTTCACTTTTATATAATCGTCTCTTTTTGCACGGTTTTAAAATCCTCGAACATGAGGAACTGATTTGCCCGGATCAATTATTATTTTATACTTTTTATTAAACACCTTTTTTATAAATAATTATGAACTTAATATTAATTATTTCTAATATAAACAATATAACTTTACATATAATTATCTTTTTTAAATTTCAATTTTATCGCAATTAACAGCAATATTTCAAAGATAATTTATGTTTCTTAAACTTAAATCTGGAGACACGACCATATTTCTTTATTTATATATTCTTTATAATTCCAAAAACGTAAGATTTCTAAACCTAGAATTTTTTTCCAATAAAGTAATATCTAATATATTGATACTTTTAATGTAATTTGATGGTTTAATTATATTTTGGGACAATATTTATTGCTATAACTAATCTACATTTGGTATATTAATTTAACAACAATCTTCCAAGTACTTAACATTTTTAAAACCTTCATTATATTTTATTATGTGTTCATGATAATTGCAAGAACTTTCAATTTAATATTAATTTTTATAGCAATATACTTTCAGTATATTTCACATGTCTTTATAATTTGATAAGTCAATCATGTTCTTAAAAAAGAAGTTTTCTAAAGTTAGACATTTTCTTACATACATATTAAAGCTGTTGTTTTCTATAAACGGCTGTAATAAGGGTTTAATCAAAGTTATGTTCAAATATATATTGATTTTTTTACATACTGTAGCTTGTAGTCATTTAAATGTGCGATTCTTTACAGAAAATATTTAAATTAAAGGTGGTGCATAAAAAGGAGTCAATTGTATTTTATTAAGTGATGTAACAAGAATACAATCAAATAAAAAAAGTGTTCCAACAAGTATTGGCATCTTTATAGCGTATAACTTCCACAGCTATTATGTTACTAATACAAAGAAGTCTATTGTAATATATAACTCTTGTAATGCGTATACTATTGACACCTTTATAGCATATAACAGTATATCCATACACTATAAATCTGTTCATTCATCCTTCAGCAATCTTAAATGTATTTGCGAAAACGGAGAAGCCCTACCCTAAGATGAATAAATCCATTTGGGCTTATTCAAAGCAGAGAAGCCGAGCAAGTTTCAGGATACGGCGTAAAATATTAGCCATTATTTTGTTTCGGAATTATTAGGGCCCTAGTTTATTTAAGGGAAACTGTTGCCTAGTGAAAACACACATACACACAGTTAGAGCGAGGAATGAAGGAATAATCTTTATGTTGGTTGGCTGGAAGCCAAGAGGTTTTATCTGGCCGACGATAAATCGCAGTCGGCGCTGTAATTTCGTGCCGGATGGATTTTATTCTGGTCCTATTATTTGATACCTATATAATGTTTTTTTTTTGTTCTCGTTCATCTTTTATGCAAATGCGAGCATATTTTCGACGTGTTTCCGCCGTACGGAACGAATATTAAACATCAACAACAGCAGCAACAATGGACTAGGTAGAAGTGTGGATGCGCGTAGGACCTGCCCTATAGAATCAATAGAATACCCAGAGTTTCCGGAGACAACATAGGCGGGGGCTATACACGCTTTTTTCTTTCCTTTATTATTAAACACTGCGCCCCGCGCGTTTATTAAAGTGCCCTTCTCTCACTCTCTCGATCTACATCGTTTTT